CTCTACCTAGAAAACATAATACAACTTCTCATTTGAAGGGTTCACATAGCTAACAACTCATTGTTTTAAACCTGATATGTCCTTTGTTGCGCTAGGTAGAGTTAGAATGATTATTATCTTATACCTTTTTTAAACACCGAGTTCTAATCGGTTAATTGCCGTAAACATCTATCATCTAATGACAGCCTCGAGTAGTATTAAATGATATAGCTAATTGAACGGTAATAAAATGTACTGACAGGAGCCTGGAAGTCTTGGATTCCTGGTACCACTGTGTCTCAATAAAACTATGACTCAGTACGGTTGTCAGGTGGAGTCAGGTGTTGTGTGTTCTAAGACTTCAACCACTGATGATTTAGAAGAACTGTCGATTAGGTTTCCAATAGAATCACAGCAGGTATATTGATTATCTTATTGATTGCCTAATGAAGCCAATATAATACACATAATACTATACCTTGATAAAACTACAAATTGACAAATGACCCATTTCAGAAAAAAAATCAACATGAAACATTGCTTTTTATTTAATTATGAAAATGGTTAAAGATAGCTGTGTCAAAGCAGGCAAAACAAACAGATATTTGCATAGTATACTACTAGTTTAACGATTTCTAGCAATATCAATATCTTTTTTTATTGTTAGACTTTTAAAAAATGTAAATCATCACACCAAGATAATTCATATAATACCGTTCAATATATTCTTTTAATTGAAACAAAGCAAGACAGAATCAACCCGAAAAACAAGCTATACTATACTAGACTGTTTTCATATATAATACAGAGACAAGAGAGAGAGATGGGGGGGGGGAGAAGAGAGAGAGGGAGATGGGGTTTAACGTCCACTAGTGACTCGACACAAAATAGGTCATTTCGGGACTAACATATGGTTCAATTTTATTTCCATATTTCGCTTGCGCGTAGGGGTCTTTAGCAATGGGAGGAAACTGGAAGACCCGGAGAAAACCCACGACAGGCGACCCTACTCCTTGTCACGTATAACAGAGACAAGAGGACAATTGGTAAATCGTTAATAAACGATTCCAACCCTTAAATATATCCATGTGATATGATAAATTGGGCGTACATACTTGAATAATATTTAGAGCAAAACGGAAATTCTATTTAATATTCACACTATAGATATGAAATTTGGGTTTATTCAACTAAACACATTCTAACTAGAATAACACTATTGTTATTGTTCTTTGAATTTTAATTGAACTGATTCTGAATAGTTATGTAATAATACACGCTCTATAAAAAACAGAAAAGGGCATAAAAGTTCATATAAGCGATAAAACATAATATTCCACAAGATGTCACCACCAGTCATAATAGATTACGGCCAAGAGCACGCGGACTAAAGCAGCACGCGTGTTGCAACTAAAGAGAATGGAATTATAAGTCACTATTTACCGCCCATATGTTACAATAGCAAGGTTTCTTTATTAATGTTCCGACATTCTATTAACAAGGCAAGTAAGTGTCTTTTTAGACCACAACAGAGTATGCTATGAAGAAAATAACTGTTCGAAATCAAAGTAACACGGCGTTACAGTTTCGTTCCGTTTATTTCTCTGATTACAAGATTATAGATAAAACGAAACGAATTTAACAATGTTATTAAGATCGGCATGGAAAGTTAATACAATTAAAAGAGATAATTGCAGGAATTCATTCGTGCCCATGATAGACATATCAAGCATCAATCTACAACAGACATAGTTATTCTGTGTTATATTTCTGGTAAAGAATAAAAATAGTCATGGAGAAACACCTTCATTCTATGTCATTTCTATCATTACATATTGTTAAGCTGTCATCTATATTAAGAATGAATTCAACTTTAGTTTATTTCTAGATGAACTAGCACGTTGATTACTTTACAGCTTAAAAGTCAAGATTTGCTGCACAAAAGCAAACACAACCCTATTATTTTACCTGTACACAATAAAAATCGATGCTAAACTAACGCTTCGTGGCCATAAGCCGAGGGCGGAAATTACGTTTAGTTCCAGTGATCTGAGATTTGATGATCAATATCAGTAACAGGCAGACAATGGAACTATTTTTTAAGATTCTACGTGAAGAGGCTAGACCGATGGTTTTGTTGATTTAGAGCACATGGCGCCGCAGGCATTTATGCAGCCAGGCTTACCGCGACACGAATTCTTACTTCTTGACAGGAAATTGCAAAAAACGGTAAAAGCTGGGAATAGGTGTTGAAATATATGGCGTTATACATGATTGGGTCAAGAAGATTTATATACAATCGAGTGACAAGGACTGGCAAACTCGTTAACCATCGTATGACACGGAATAGAGTTCTGTCACGAATTTGTAACAACTTTGTCGTGACAATAGTTTTCATGTAACTGAACCAACTCTAGCACTGGCACTTGGTGGTGTTTCTTATTTTTATTGCTTGCTTTATGTTTTACTGAGTAGTTAGACTGTGTCCTCTATTATTAAAAAGGGGGCAAAGGTAGCTCGACGACTATGGCTTTGGATTTGACCTGGGGGACTTTTTAGGCTGCCCCAGCTTTGCCAGTGGGACAGGACGGAGGATGACTTGTGTATTCCCAAAAGAACTCCTGATAGTTGGATTGCAATGACGAGTTGGCGGAAACATCACTGACTGTGCAAAACTTCCAACATAGTACGTCTTTATGGTGTGAAAAAGTAGGATGTTAGCGCGATTTTCATTTTTATTATTAAACTTTGCATTCTTTGTCGTCACGAATTCTCGTGTTGACACGATTCTGATTATTCCAGAATATTCAGTCGAGTATAGGCCCATCCTATCCCCTTAAGCCATGTGTTTACTTAGTTCATTGCGTCTTTGTTTACGTTTTGTTCAAACGCTTTTCAAAAATCAATCTTTACTTTGCACTATCTGCCGATTATTCAATGATTTATGTGCAATCAGTCGATTAATATGATTAGTTCGCTGTATTCACGAGTTCTCTATTTAATAAAAGTACTAAAGATCCGTCTCTGATAAAGCGAACAAGCTATTGAATATTTTATCATATGAAAAAGTGACAAGAACATAGTGTGAATTTACGGATTGAAAATGATGGTAATGCAGATTGTATGGGCAGTTTGTTTATTACGTTCACCCGATTCTGTCAACTAAAAGAACATGGTTTTCTACTTCAGACAAGGATGTTCTGTCCTCTAAGTTTGTCTGATTATTGATAGTTTTAAACCAGTTGACAGGTGAATTTTTTTAAAGCAGCTACAGCTCTTTGATTTAGGTTAAAATAAAGTGTCGAATTGAAGGGATCTCATATATTACTTTGATTGGGAAAGGGACAATTACTGATTAGAAATCAGTTTGCTTGCTGATTTAGTTTCGTGTAATATAGTTATCGGCTGTTAAACACAGAACCAGCTTGACCTGTGGATCTAAAATTTTAAACGCATACACCCAATTGGCAAATAAATCAACACATCAAATTCTCACTTCGAAGGTTAAGCAGAAAGCAATTTGTTTACTAAACCTGTATGCATAACATGTTTCGTCAGCTCTATTGCCCGTCCGTCCGCTATGAAGTAGCCTCTGGGTCTAATTTAGTTCAGCTCTGAACGTAGGTCTCATTACACTCGCCCTGTACGTTCAGAAAACGCCCTATTGAATTCTTGTCGAATAACTTTCGAACCTAAGTCAATTTTACTGGGCAACTTTTTACTGCTAAACGGTCGCGTGTCAGTCCCTTTGAACGCCTGTACAATGTAAAGGAATATTTTAGATTCAGTATGCGCGACACAACATGTTGTTAAAAATTCGTCCCCTTCTGCTAAAACGCTTATAGGGCGGTTCCTGACGGTACAGGGCGAGTGTAATGAGACCTACTTCAGAGCTGAACTAGGTCTAATTTATACCAAATGAGTATAAAGTCGTGAATTAAAGTTGGTAACATCAGCGAATTGTTAATCTCGAGAGCGTCACACCAGTCCCTGTTGAAATTTTGTATTTGTAATTGCCTGGGATTAAAGTGGTGAGTTAGTACATGTACAACCGTCTTGTATATACAGCAGCAAACATTCCAAGTCCGATATAACACATTAACAATGCATATTGTACAAACTATGTAGACCCAAAGAGAAGGAATCATTTCTGTGTAAATACCATTGAATAATAGTTTAAAATTATTGATTAATAAACACAGTAATGTTTTGCCATACTTCATTAGCAATCTATTGACATCTGTCGACATGAGATCAAATGTTTTTCAATGTAGGTGACTACAATGTTTAAGGAACGCCACGATTAGTTTAAATTACTGTGGTGCGTCAGATAATCCATTAATACTCATCCTTAAACTAAACAGATATAGATACCATCTATATATGAGAAATTACTTCCTAAATACGAAATTGTGGCTGATTCTAAAAGGTCGACATGACATAAAGGTGCTATTTTAATGTTGAGTGTTCTTTTCGTATTTTGTTTGTTATGTCCTTATATGAACTGAATATAGCAGGTGTTTTTCGATTGTAATTTGCTATGAAGACAAATGCTTATCTTGTGATTAACTGATAGTGCTTCAACTACTTAATATGCATATTACAAAGATTTTATTATTAAAAGTTATATCGACATTTTATTTTTGAAAATTTTCGATGATGTCATAACCGATATCATAATTTGTAATTTCCGGAAAATAATCATTACGTTATATGAATCTATTTGGAATTTGGAACAACATGTCGGACAATGAGTAGGTAAAAATCCCAATCAAAAATATTTTAATATTCGAAAGTTAAGTTTAGATAGGAACAGTGTTAACAAAAAGGGAATGGTGTTTACCATCACGTCAACGCAGAACACCTATTATTTTTTAGTCTTAAACACTGTGAATTCTTCATTTAAAAACATAAGTACGCGTATAACGCTGGGTTGGGTTTAGGGCTAGGACTTCAAATACAATAAGTTTACTTTTATAATTAAATTAGAATAAAGTACATATCAGAAATTATATAATTACCGATTTTTGCAGTTCTCAGAATTAATTAAGGAACTTGTAACACAGCCACATTGTTTGTCGCCACATATTCCACCGAGTCTGTATCACAGCTCAGATATAAGTAAATCATCCGGATATAAGTAACTTAGGCACAGGCAAATTCACATATAATCCAGTTCACGTGCTGTTAATCGAAAATCTGATTTAATACTAACCAAAAATGAACAAAGCGGTTTATTTCGGGCAACTACAAAGCTTGCATCATCATTTTTTATTTCTAAAAATAACCTAAATATAATATTACTATGGTAATATCAAAACCCACACGTGTGAAATTGACACATGACAAAGAAAAATCTAAAATCATATCTTTAATTGAATAAAATATCTAAAAATAACGCTTACGTTAGTATAAATTATCAGAAAAGGTGTATTATAGATTTCTACTTTATTGTACATGCTCGTAAACATTGATATGTATATAACATTATGGTCATAGTGGAGCAAAGATCGATGTAAGCTATTTCATAATTTATTAATATGACCTAAATATAATTGAAACGAGAGCACTAGGCGATAAAATTTTCATTTACTGTGATGAAAGGTGGGTGGTACAGTGCTACAATGTTCGTTGATGCTGTTCAATGTCACCCCCGCCTCTTTGTTTTAAGGACTTACTGGTGTCGGCATGAGTAAGGTATGTTTACCCAGGTTGCGTTTTGTGATTTAACCTGATCGGGGGGGGGGGGGGCCTCCAGACACCAATTAGTCGGTTACAAGGGGAAACGTGGTGTGGGCTCGTCAGCTCTACTTGGACTCGTTCGGAACTCCTTAGATCAAGCCTACAGCCACAGCCATTGCATTTTACGCGACCAACATTTGTTGTTGTGGGCCCCTGGTGTGACGGGCCTGGGACCCGTGTCACAGTATAGGCTCTATTGACGGGCCTTTGGGCCACTTGTCTCAGTATAGGCTCTATTGTCGACCCGGTTCTAAAACGTCAATTTGCCCATGTACTGCTGCTATGGGGACGATCATCACAGCAAAATAGCTTCCAAATTTGATTGAAATCTATTTAAGTTCGTTCAGAAGAAACTAAATATGTAAATATATTAACTGACGGACGACTAACACAGCAACATACCTTTCACATTTTATGGAAGTCAAACTGTTCAGAAGAAATTAAAAATGTAAAACATTTAACGGACGGACGACCATCCGGACGTTGACCCGGTAGACTAACATAGAATTGTTACTTACAGATCAGACCTATTTAAAGCAAACAATCCTGCATTCAATGCATTTGAACTAAAATATATCATTTATAGATATAATTTTAGTACTCGCTGCCACGTTCTCGCAATTATGTTCGATTGTGTTAGAAACACTTGGGTGCGTGTGTGTAGAAATTAGACATATATTTCTGTACGAACCATTTAAAAGAGTTGGGATTAATATAGCCATGACAGGTTGTACGTCTACTATTTGGATATTTTAATAGTTGTTCATGGATAGAATACGGCTGTGATTGTTTTGATTTTAAACCGTGATACGAATACGAAAACGTAAGAAAATCACCATGGAATTGGTACAAATTTGAAGACAATTTTTATATTTCATAGTGACATGGAGAGTGAAATTTAGCATATGGAGTGACATATCAGCAGCTGTTATTGCGGGTTTATGACAAAACAGCCCGTGTTATGTTGATAACTTCAGTCCTGTTGCGGGATATCTGAGGAGCTTTTATCTGGGGCTGTTGATTCAGGCGCCTAACAACACGAAATATCACAATTTAGATGGGCGATACTGGTAGATGTCTACGTGTGTACCTTCGTGGTCTTGGCACAATACTAAATATTATACCAAGAGAACAATCCCGTATTTTTAAATGTAAGGCGTTTTGTCATTGGTTAGTTCAATCTATTTATTGGTGTGGTAATAGAATAAAATAAGGCCAGAACCCGTCACTCCCCAGTAAGAATATTCAATAGTGTTCTGTAATTACTTAATTGAAAGTCATTCAATAAAGCAGAAAATATAATAATGTAATTTCCTAGTTGTAATACCTGGTGCCATCTAGAACTATGGGGAACAGGAAATGTGATATTGTTTATAAAGTAGGTCTCCGTTACTATCACGGATTTCAGTAATACAAAAGGATGGTGTCAATACAGAGTAGGTCAAACACCCTGATCCGACGTGGCAAGCATAGTTTCATTGACGAATAAGGGCTTTGCGTTATACCTGCAATTTCTTTACAGTGTCAGTGCCGGAACGGTTATGGTAAATGAGTTAATATGCAATGTTCGGTGGTCGTTGATCAGGCTCTTGTTCTCAGAAATGTTCCTCATTTTTGGACATTCTTTTCTCATAGTGATGCAATACCGAAACCAATTATTATCAGTATTGGCGAGATGCTTTAAGGCATTGCAGAACTCGTAGTAATTGTGTTTAGGACAGTAGTTCTAAATTTTACGTTAAGGTCCAGATTCCACGTCAAAGATGAAAAGTTGATATGGGAATCTGAATAAGAGTAGCAAACATTCTTCTAAACTGTACTGTTGGTGAAATCATAAGGAAACTCTTCCACATATCATTCTTAAATGAACAGAGCAGTAGATTCCATTCAGATCGGAATTCAAACCAACTGAATGTAACCCAAAATCGATAGAATAATCACAACATCTATCATATATGTCAACTAATCGACTCAGTCCGATTAAATTTATGAAATATTGGTATTGCGTGGTCGTTTATAATACTAAATACATGATATAAGTCAGCCCATTAATGTCATGTTCAGTGACTGAAAAATCCATCCAGCAAAAATCATATTCACTCAACAAAAAACACCAGTTATATGATAATCTGAGTAATGCCTGGGTAAATAAAACAAGATAAAGTGAAGGAATCGTCATAGAACGTGTCATTACCTAACTAGCTGTGATTCCCAGACCATAAGAAGTATTATTTTTATGCAAGTGCAGGCGCGTAGCTAGCAGGGGGGGGGGGGGCTGCTGCCATCCCTTGGCTCCGTACGGCGCCCTTTCCATTGGACGCAATACGAAGCCAACGACCAACGGGCCCATATCAGTATGGCGCCCCATAAAGCCAAGTGACATTGGCTGGTTGCTCCCCTTGCTACCCCCCCCCCACCCTAAGCTACCGGCCTAAAGTGTTACCATGCTCACTTACTCGGGGTTCGATGCCAGTGACATTGGCTGGCTGCTCCCCTTGCTACCCCCCCACCCTAAGCTACCGGCCTAAAGTGTTACCATACTCACTTACTCGGGGTTCGATGCCGGTGACATTGGCTGGCTGCTCGCCTTGCTACCCCCCCCCCCCCATCCTAAGCTACGGGCCTAAAGTGTTACCAAACTCACTTACTTGGGGTTCGATGCCGGTGACATTGGCTGGCTGCTCCCCTTGCTACCCCCCCCCCCATCCTAAGCTACGGGCCTAAAGTGTTACCACACTCACTTACTCGGGGTTCGATGCCGGTGACATTGGCTGGCTGCTCCCCTTGTTACCCCCCCCCCCCCCATCCTAAGCTACGGGCCTAAAGTGTTACCAAACTCACTTACTTGGGGTTCGATGCCGGTGTTAGCCGACGAGAAGCTTCCTCGGGATCTTCCACCCTGGTTTCCCCTTGTCAGTGAAGAAAATTCGAGGTCCCCGTGTACACATGCGCGTGTAAAAGAACCCTTGGAAGTAAGAATTCGATAAAAAGTAGACAGAAACGACGCTGTCCTGTCGTATGCCCGTATTCAGTATCCTAGTTGGTGCAGAAAAGTTGGACGTTAAACCCCATTTCACTTCATTTCAGATAAAGCTGACACTGGCGAGCCGAGGTTCAATATCAATATTTTATGTTATGCCACCTTGGCAGAATATCAATATAGGCCAACATTTGACAAAACTTAATATTAAATAAAATCGATATTATCTATAAAAGCTATAATGTAAGACTTTATATACTGGAAATCGATTAAAAGTGACTTGGTATTAGGTGCAACTATATCGATTATTTTGTAAACACATGATGTTTATGGCATTTTAATTTTTAAGACAATAAATGCAGAAGTTGCACCCATTAAACACATTTATGGCGAAATCAGTCAAATGGAATCTATTAATCTATGTTTTTAACGCACTCATTTTTTATTTTTATTTTTTTTATTTTTTTTTTTTACTATGCCCAATGAAATATTTAATGCACTCAATACTCTTACGAGATGTTTATTGAAGTAAGTATACTTGTTGTTCTTTTATATTACGTCGATGCATTTTTTTAAAAAAAGGGGAATTAACGTCCACTTAACACAAACTATGTTATTTCGGGAATAACATATTATGTTATATCTTTATCTCAATAATTGTGGAATTAACGTCCACCCAACACAACCTATGTTATTTCGGGAGTAACATGTTATAACTTTAGTTCAATAATTTGCAGTGTGTCTGCTTGAAGAATTCTAGATAGGTACCAAATATTCCAAAGTTCCAGAAATGGAGACAGAGGAAATAGTATTTTCAGAAAACAAAAATGCAGAATCTGGTAACATTACACTACCTTCACATATCAATTAGAAAATACATAAAGGCCAACATTCGGTATCAAGTGTTTTTTTAAAAAATTTCAGCAAATTATATGCATGTGTGTATTTGTCAATTCTAGCTTTAGTTATACGAATTGCCATCATCACCAAATTGTGTTATAGTTTTAAAAAACAGAGCTATGTTTTGGTCTGGTGTATCATACCATAAAGTCTTGATCAGATCGATGGTATAATTGAAGGAGACCAAAATTGTGTGATCCTTATTTTGAGAGGGGGGGGGGGGGGTGACAATAAATATTACTTTTGGCCGGTGATAACATTTTGACCTTGGTAACGTCTGAAACCGGAAGTACGGGTTTAATCTTGTCATTCGTTTTTCACTTTTCCAAAGTTTTCCACGGATTGTGATCACGTTTTGACTAAATCTTTAAAAAGAAAATGTTTTAGTTATTTATAGATTTTCTTGTGGTATATCTGGTTGTACCATAAGTGTGTGTTATTCGTGCTCCCGTTTTATCAGTGATATCGAGTAATATTGTTGCTGGCTTGCTGTTACGTTGTTTTAAATTAGGGTAAAAAAAATATTGGACGAGGATCTAACAGGTAACACGTGTCGGGTTGTTCT